CTCCCTAAAATTTATCTTTTCAGACATTATTGTTAATTTTTGCCAGTTTAAAGAACATGAATTATCTCACTTTTAATTTGAATTTCCTTGCTTACTAGTAACTTTGAGCATCTTTTAACATGTTGATTAGTCATTTAGGTCTCCTTGCTTGTAAATCATCAGGTTTTTTGGGGGAAGGGGCGTTATTTGCATTTTTCTTGGTAATACTTTGTTGATGTTTATTATAATTGCAAATATTTTCTTAATTGTATTTTCAATTAGAGTTGACATCCGCTATTTTATATTAGTTTCAGGTGTACAACATAGTGGTTAGACATTTATATAATTTACAGAGTGATTCCCCCCAATTAGTCTAGTACCCACTTGGCACTACATATGGTTATTACAGTATTATTGACTATATTCCCTATGCTATGCTTCACACTTCTGTGACTGTTTTGTAACTAACAGTTTGTACTTCTTAATCCCTTCACCTTTTTATCCAACCCCCCGCCCATCTGGGACTTACCAGTTTGTTCCCTGTATCTATGAGTCTGTTTCCATATTGTTGGTTGGTTGATTTTATTCTTTAGATTCCACATATAAGTGAATTCATGTGGTATTTGTCTTTCAATCTGACTTACTTCGCTTAGCATAATATCCTCTAGGTCCATCCATGTGATTGCAAATGGTGATTTCTTTTTTTTTTTTAATGGCTGAGTAATATTCCATTGTATTTATGTACCACTTCTTCTTTATCCATGTGTTTATCGATGGGCACTGAGCTTGCTTCCATATGCATGTTGTAAATAGTTCTGCAGTGAATGTAGAGGCACATCTAGCTTTTCGAATTAGTGCTTTCATTTTCTTTAGATAAATATCCAGAAGTGCAATTGCTGGGTCATAAGGTATCTATTTTTAATTTTTTGAGGAACCTCCAAACTGTTTTTCGTAGGGGCTGTACCAATTTGCAGTCCCACTAACAGCACACGAGGGTTCCTTTTTCTCCACATCCTTGACAGCACTTGTTTTTTGATTTATTGATGTGAGGTGATATCTCATTGTGATTTCAATTTGTATTTCTCTGATGACAAGTGTCATTGTGCGTCTTACATGTCTTTTGACCATCTGTATGTCCTCTTTGAAGAAATGCCTATTCAAGTGCTCTGATCATTTTTAATAGGGTTGGTTTTTTTGGTGTTGAGTTATATGAGTTTTTTGTAAACTTTGGATATAACCTTTTATTAAATGTATCATTGACAAATATCTTCTCTCATTCAGTAGGTTGTCTTTTTGTTTTGTTGATGGTTTCCTTTGCTATGCAAAGCAAATATTTTCTAGACTGGCTTGCTTTTATACTTTAAGATAGTTTGTTTTACAGAGATGTAAATTTAAATGTAGTTACATTTATCAGTCTTTTTCCTTTATCAAATAAACTTTTTGTGTCTGGTTTATAAATCTCTTCACTACCCTTGTAAATATTCCCCTCTTTTCAATATATAGCATGAAGGAGGAATCTAATTTCATTCTTTTCCTCATGGACAACCAACTTACAAAACAGATCACCTTTCCCGATCTATATGTCTTGACTTTTTTTTACTAGTGGACTCTTTCTATATGTTATGGATCATCAGTATTTTTGTTCTGTTCCTGGTACAATAAGTTATACATATATAATAAAGCTATAGTAATTAAAACTATAATTTTGCATTAATTATACTTTTTAAATTATATGTAATATGATAGGCTGTATAGAAATATAGAGAAGGATCTAGATAATATAGTACTTTATTTATTTGCCTTGTGTATCTTATCACTTTACTCCAACTATTTAGGGTTTTTTTTGGTGTGCATTTTGCACAAAAGAATATAGCTGAGTTTTTTGAAATTTTAATCCAAGCCTCTTTAACCGGGAGGTGTGGTCCGCTTGCCTTCATTTTGATAACTGTTATGTTTAGATTTCTGCCACATAACTGTATGCTTTTTATTTCCCAATCTAGAGAATGGTTTTTGCTTTTTTTATTCTCTTTTCCTGGCTTTCGGTTTAGAAGTTATATATTCTTTTTCTTTTAGTGAAATGTTTAGCATACCTACTTGTCTTAAAAGTCTAGGCTAATCATGTCTGCCTTCCTCCCAAATAATATAGGGACATTAGAACTCTTGCATACTAATCATTCCTTTCAACTCTTACATGTTGTTGTTAACTAACATTTTTTCTCATTTTATACTCTCCATATTTGTTATTTCTATGCTGGTAGTGCTTGTTTAGAGACCTATATTTGCCAGTTTTTTCCCTCACAATTGCTTCTCGTGCCTGCCTTTTCTGGGGATTTAATTTCCATCTTACTCAAGTCTGTTGAAGTTCTTTCAGCAAACATCATGAATTCTGTCTTTCTGTAAAAATGTGTTAATTTTTCCTTCACTCTGAAATGATACAGAATTATTTTTCTTCAGCAATTTAGCCACAAGTCTGTTGTCTTCCATTCTTTCTTGTTGCTTTTGAGAATTCTGCTTATAGCTAAATATTTCTTTGTGAGTAATCTATCTTTTCTCTGTATTAGTGTTGTTTTGATCTTGTTCTGCTGTTTGGTTAGTCTTTCTAGGTCTGTATTTATTTTTATTTATTCTCCTAAGACTGGTTTTTAATTTGAGGATTTGTGGTTTTTGTTAATCTGGAAAATTTCTCAACTACTACATATCTTTGAATGTTACAGGGCTTTTATTTTATTACCCAAAACCCCCCATATTCTTCAACTCTCTTCTTAATTTTGAGTCATTTCCACAGTTTTATCATTAATTCTCTTCCATATTTCATCAGTTCTAAAACATACTGTTTTGTTTTCTACATTTTAACATCTCTGAAATTCGGATAGCATGTTATTATTTAATTGGCAGAGTTTTTCTCTTTTAACATCATAATTGACAACATTTTAAAGTTTTTTGTGTTGGTACATATAGTAATGGTGCAACTCAAAAATCAATCTTGGGTAATTTATCAGAAGCATATTTTTTGCTTGGCTCTGTTGAATCTCAAAACCATTGGGTTTGTATTCTGTTGATTGTATTTGAACTTTAGATGTTATATTCAGTTCTTTTTTATCTTTTTCTACCGTAGCTTGCTCTTTTCTTAGAATTTCAATCCCTTTTATGTCTTCAGAATTTTAAACATAGTATTTTTATATTGTTCTTTCTTTTTTGAGTGTTGTCAGAAATTCTGATTCTCTTTGTTGACTCTCTTTCAGAGTAATTTTTTTTGTGTCATTTCTAACAATAGATGGCTTATGGCGTGTTTTTTATATGAGAATTTTGTACTGCAGAAGATCCAGAGTAGTTTTTCTGTCTTCCATTTAGAGCCTCTGGGGTCTAATCATTCAGAACCAATTTTTATGATAATTTCTCAACTGAGACGTTCCTAGACTGAATGGCAGTACAAATTTAGACTTCAAGCCTGAGAGAAAGCCCCTGTGGTCTTGGTTTTTTATTTGTCAGGGGTTATATATTCCCCCAGAGCCCAGGCCAAGACAAACAACATAAGCTTTCTTAACTCCCTATAGTGGTGAGCAGGATTTTTTTTTTTTTTTTCTGGTCAGCACTTTCTGTGACTATACATTCTTTTGAGCATCTTGGCTTCAGCATGGATATTAACTCCAAAGCAGAACCTTCTGATGCTACACATGCATATCTGTTGTGTATAGAAACAGTGGCATAATCTCTTTGAGATCTCACCACTCTTATTTTAATTTTCTTTTTTCCCTGAACTCTGGGATTTTTTTCCTTTCTTGCAATTTTAGATATTTATTAACTATTTTTATTCAGTTACAAGACTTTATTTTTTTAGAACAGCTTTAAGTTTACAGAAAAATTGAGCAGAAAGTTAAAGGTTCCTATATACCCCACCACAATTTTTCTCTTATTATTAATACTTTGCATTTGTGGGATGCATTTGTTAGTGATTTGTTAATGATAATTTGTCAATGATCATTACTAAACCAGTATTGATACATTTTAATAACTAAAGTCGTAGTTTACATTAAGGGTCATTCTTTGTCATGTATCTACCATTGCAATATCATGCAGAATAGAATCACCACTGTAAAAATTCCCTGTGTTCCACCTATTCATTCCTCCCTCTCTCCCGAACTTCTGGCAGCCACTGATCTTTTTACTGTCTCTAGTTTTGTCTTTTACAGAATGTCATATAGGTGGGATCATACAATATGTAGCCTTTCAAAACTGGCTTCGTTCACTTAGCAATATGCATTTAAGATTCCTCCATGTCTTTTCAGGCCTTCATAGCTCACTTCTTTTTATTGCTGAATAATAGTCCTTTATATGGTTGTACCACAGTTTATATATTCATCTGTTGAAGGACATCTAGATTGCTCCCACTTTGGGATAATTATGAATAAAGCTGCTAACAAGAGCGATATCCAGTAAGTTTTCAACTCAGATAAATACCTAGGAGCACAATTGCTGAATCTTATGCTAAGACTATATTTGGCTTTGTAGTAAACTATCAAACTGCCTTCCAAAGTGACTATACCATTTTGCAGTTTCACCAGCAATAAATGAGAGGTCCTATTGCTCTGCATCCTCTGCAGCACTTGCTTTTATCAGTTTTTTTAATTTTAGCTACTTTAATAAGTTTATAAGTGTCTTGTTGTTATTTTAATTTGCAATTCCCTAATGACATATGTTGTTGAGTATCTTTTCATATGTTTATTTTTCATCTGTATGTCTTTTTATGGTAAGCGAAGGTGTCTGTTTAGATCTTTTGCCCGTTTTTTTAATTGGGCTGTTTTCTTGTTGAATTTTAAGAGTTTTTTTGTGTGTATTTTGGATACAAGTTCTTTATCAAATATGTGTTTTGTAAATATTTTTCCCCCAGTCTATGGTTTGCCTTTTCTCTTAACTGTCTTTCACAGGGCAGGATTTTTAATTTTAGTAAAGACCAGCTTACTCATTTCTTTGGTGTCTGTTTTTGGTGTTGTGTGCAAAAACTTAACACCAAACCCAAGGTCACCTAGATTTTCTCCTATATTATCTTATACAAGTTTTATAGTTTTACATTTAGATCTGTGATCCATTTTGAGTTAATTTTTGTGAATGTTAAAAGGTCTGTGTACAGGTCTTTCTTTCTTTTTTTTTTCCCCTTGCATATGGATGAATGTTTAGTTGTTCCAGCACTGTTTATCAGCTATGAGTTAAGTTTTTACAAAAATATTTTTCCGGTTGGCTCCATAGTATAGTAGTTAGAACGTCTGCTTTACGCTGAGAAGGGAAGGGTCCTGGGTTTGCGCCCCAGGTGGAGATATGGACCAGGCCCGGGGTGCACCAGGCTCCAGCTGCACGGGTGCACGCCGCAAGCATGTGGGAGGAGACGCCCCACCTTCAGAGATCCACTTCTTAAGGAGAAACAGCAACATCTGTAGGTCAGGGGTGGAGGAGGGGAGAATTAAAGAGGGGGGAAAAATATATTCTTCCAATTTCGGGGGGAAAAATATATTCTTCCAACTTTGTTAGTATTTATATATGTCTTTCCATCCTTTTCAAATTCATAGCCCTTATGTTTAAGTATGCATCTTGCAAGCAGCACACAGTGGTGTTATTTTTTTAATCCAGTCTAATATCTTACTCATGTAATTGAATACTCTAGACCATTTACATTTAATGTAATTACTAATATGGTTAGGTTTTTAATATACTTATCCAGCATTTAAAAATTTTCGTATTATTTTAAACAGCCATCTTACCAGAACCATTTCTAAGTAATGAAGATAATTTAGGAATAATTCATATAAAATTATGGTGTATAAGTAGGCAGCTAAACTTAAACAATTAATCTTTTTAAAAAAAGCAATTTTAAAATGACTAGATTTTTCCACATGCAAAATAAATGGGTTAGTTTGATACATAGTCCAACAATGGAACAAACCTAGAACTCTATAAGAAAATCCAGGATATGTTTGCCATCACAAGACTATCATGTCATGATAATGTGTTCTGCTATAATTTCTTTTTAAAAATGCCTTTTAAAAGCTTGAACCCAGCACATGACAAAGCATTTTGTGCCACTTTCATGTGTGATTGACAGACTTCAAGTTCTAGTTTTAATGCTGATATGTGAAAGTTACTCAGAAATTCCAGTTATTTGAAGGAATAGCAGACAGAACATTTGAAATAGAGGTTTTACTAGAAAATCCAGGATTTATTTTTACTGTCTTTTTTTCTTCTTAGGATATAAGAATAAAGTCTTTTCATTTTAGAAGGAACATGTTTCCCCCTTTTTAAAAGCATTTTGTATTTATTGTAGATAATTTAGATGACAAAATAATTAAAAAGAGAAAATTAAAGTTATCCTTAAGTCTGTCACTGAGAGATAACCAAAGTTATTAGCATTTGAGTTTTTACCATGTATAACATATATGTACATGCGTATTAGCAAGTGTATTTCAAACCATTTTCTGTCCTGCGTTTTCCCACTTAATAGTGTTTTGACATTTTCCATTGCCATTTTTATTTATTATTAGGAAAAATATGTGAGGAAAAGAATGTGTGACTCCATAATTAAGAACACAAAAGATACAATAATATGGAAATTTAGGGCCAGAGCACACAGATTTTCCTTCAAGACACTACTTGATCCTTTTCTAGCCTCTTAGTACCAATTCCTTTACTTTTTTTCCTCTTAATCCCCCACCCCACTTCCACCCCTCCCCCCAGCTTCCACCCCTGACCTATGGAGGTTGCCATTTCCCCTTAAGAACTGGATCTCTGAGGGCGGGGTATCTCCTCCCACACGCTCACAGCATGCACCCTGGGCCTGGCACTCCTGGAGCACTGGGAGGAGGGGGGCGCTGGTGCACCTAGGGTATGATCTGTGGCTCCACCTGGGGCGCAAACACAGAACCTTCTGCGTGTAAAGCAGATGTGCTACCCACTACACTATGGAGCCACCCTCTCCTTTACTTTTTTATGTGTATGTTAGTATGAAAGTATTCTTAGGAAAGAAATGAAGATCTTGAATTAATTGTTTTTCAATTTGCACAATAATTTGTCAAAATTGTTATATTAGAATAATGTTTGGAAAGGTATAGTTGAACCCTTTTGCTTGTAGTTGTTCAGTTGTCAGCTTTTGGTTAAATGATTTGAAATTATATAAAGAGTAAATAATTCACTATTAATTTCTAAGATTAAGGACTTTTCCTTCTAGACTCCTTTCTACGAAACCGTTCAAGTTCTGACCATGAAGCCACAGCTATGATGAAAGCTCAGTTTATGAGCCTCTGGGATGGATTGGATACTGATCACAGCTGCCAGGTATTTGAAAGAAACCTGCCTAAGACTTGTGGTATTGCGGTAGTGGTGGTGTTAATAGGAGACTGGCTTTTTTACAAAAGTCTTTTTCATAATTATCTTTAAATGATGGAGATCTGAAAGAATACAGTTTGTTTTGAGGTTTTCATGTTTAGCAAAGTGTTTATAGATGGTCTCAGTATCTGAAACGAGTATAACAGAAGAGAAAAAAAACAGGGCGAAGCCTCTGCTTGGAATCTATGCCAAGGAAGTGGAATGACTTGTGGCTCTGGCTACATGTTTCTTTGACTCTTACCATAAATCATTGCAGTCTTTACTCTCAGTTCTTATGTCACTTATTTTCATTAGATGCTGAAATTTACTTTCCCACTTCCTATCACATGCACCTTCTTTTAAGATCCCAATTTTAAATAAAACAGTCATCTCTCCTAGTCTTTGTCTCTTCCTCTTCTAAGGCTGTGAAAACTAAGGTGCCTTGATAAGCCACCAAAGAGAAAGCTGCTAGATTGTTCAGCTTACCTCTTTGGGTTCCCATTTTCACTTAATTTTTCACCTCTGAGTATTCTATACTTTTTTTCCAATTACAGTTGGCATTCAGTATTAAGTTTCAGGTGTAGTAGTTAGACATCTATAGAATTTGCAAAGTGATCCCCCCAGTTAGTCTAGTACTCACTTGGCGCTATATGTAGTTATTAAAATCTTGTTAACTATGTTCTCTGTGCTGTACTTTACATCTCTGTGACTATTTTGTAACTACCAATTTGTACTTAATCTTTTCACCTTTTTACCCAGTCCCCCATATAGCAATCACCAGTTTGTTCTCTGTATCTATGAGTCTGTTTCTGTTTGTTCATTTTGTTGTTGTTGTTTAGATTCCACATATAAGTGAGACTATATGGTATTTTTCTTTCCCTGAATTATTTCACTTTAGCATAATACCATCTAGGCCATACTTGTCAGGTCAATGATGTGTTTTAAAAGTAAAGTTAAAATATCTGGCATGTTATTTTTCTGCCATATTACTTGAAATGGAAGTTCTAGAACCACTTTTTTTTCATGAATCACCTATTTGTATCTCTTTGAAAAGTTTTGCAAAAGTTAACAATCGTCTTCTGTTGTTTTAACTTTACCGGGTATTTTCTATTTTGTAATCTCTTTGCCCTTTTTAAAAAACATAATATGTATAGAATCATATCTTCCATCACTTCTAAAAAGTTATTTCTTCAAATATTGTTTCTTGTTCATTCCCTATGTGCTCTCTTTGTGGAGTGCCAATTAGATATACCTTATTTATATGTCATGTGTTTTAACTTTTTATATTTTTTCTCTTTTTATCAAATATTCTGGGTAATTTCTTTACCTCTTTTTTTTTTTCAATTTGTCGATTCTAAGTTCACTTTGATGTCTTCTGCTATTTAATTCTTTCGTTGAGTTTATTCTTTCAGTTAGTAAATTTTTCAGTTCTAAAAATTCTTTTAGATTTTTTTTTTTCAAGTTTTCCATGTCACTTTTCATGAGCTCTTGCCCATCAACTCATGTTTCCAATTAGATTAGAAAACCAGAGCCCTGGCATCAAACTAGCTGTGTGACCTTGGCCAAATTATATAATCATTTTATCTGAATAGAGGAAATAATATCTATAAAAAGGGGAGGATAATATCCACCTCAAAATTATTGTAAAATTTTAAGGAATTTATCAGAGTAAAGTGCTTATAACAGATCTAAATTTTCTACATATTTTCTACATAAATATTTGCCATGTGATTTTTAAAATTCCTCCTTTATTCCTTTAAGTATATTAACATAGTCTATATTATAGACTATATTCAGTAATTCTATAGTAATTTAGTAATTTAGTAATTCTAAATTCAGTTATAGTCTATATTCAGTAATTCTAACATGACTATTTGTATATCTGGTTCTTATTTGTTTGAGTTTATGGTGGCTCTTGTGTTTTGTGATTTCATGGGGGAAAAAATCATATTTGGTTGAACTTTGCGTGTGAATTTTTGGAACCTTTGTTGAAGGTTCGTTGATCTAAGAGGATTTGTCCTTTGCCATATTTTTTTCCCCAACACAAATAGATAAATTCAGGTTATTTTATGTATATTAGCTGAGATCCATGTAGGCTGAATTCGAACCATGAAATCTCAGGGAATTTATATGGGTGTTTATGTGTTTATATATCTTTCCAAGAACCAAGGTTTGACTCTACTGAATAGGTTTTCTAATATTTCACTTTTCTAAAACTATGGTACTCATGAGTCCCAGCTTTATATAGGTGGTCTTTCATCAGGCTCTCTGCCCTGTAATGTGTCCAGTGCATACCCCACTCTAAGCTCTATACATTATATGTCTACATGGTATGTGGTCAGCTTCTACCCTTGTTTACCTCCCTTAGGCATAGGCCTTCCTCCTGTCCTCAGCTTAATTCCTTTACTTTTTTGCAGATTTATCAATTAATTTATTTGAGTTTTTTATTACTCCATTATTTGTGTGTGTTCTGTAGCCAGAGGAGTAAAGGATCTCCTATGTCTACCATATTCCCATAAATCAAAAATAGGAAACATATCATTCTCAAAAAGAAAATTAAACCACATGCCCTCATTCTACATCATCTTTATGAAAATATAGCTTCATTATGAGGAAAGGTTGCCTTTAATGTTTGTTGGATGATTAGAGAAAAAAGCACAACATAGATAAATTTAGGTGACAGTAATAGAAGCAATTTTTATTAATAATTGCTTCTAATACATCTATTCAATGGAAATAGTTTACAGGTTTCCCAAAACTAATAACCTCCTAAGCAACAGTATTTAAATCGCTTAAACAATCAAATGGTTAGATTATGAAGAGAAAATACTTAGTATTTTATAATATCCTATCAAATTATAGTTTAAAAGACCAAGGAAATAGTGACAGTTGGGTGAAGTATATACTTCAGAGCCACTTCATTCGGAGCCCCACATCATGGCTCTGAGACAGTACATTTTCGAACTGAGTTTTCAGAACCATAATTTATCACGCTAATAGTACTTACTGTTTTCATTATGACAAATTGCTTTTTATTAAACTCTAGCAACTGTTTTCTTTTTACCTTTTTTGTGTGACGAGGGGCTAAAATTGATATTATTGATTTGAATAATAACTTCAGACATATTCTTCTTTTATATCAACCAGTTAGCTTTTCTCTAAAATTGTCTATTATATGACTATGGATGGAGCCCAGTACTCCAGTTAGTATGTCTGATATGGCCATACGGGAAACAAAAACAGTTCAATGGCTCCAGTAAACCTATCACCACTACTGGAAATATAAGTTAACCGATGACATGTTTTTCATCTTGAGAGACATGAAACAAAAGAAACATATATTTGGGATATTCATTGACAAAGTTTTGAGGCATGAATTTAGATCTGATTATTTTAAATGTGAAATGATAAAAAATTTATCTTTATACTTTGTCTTAAAGATTTTTAAAAGTCTTAACTAATACCTAAAAGGTACATTAATTTTGTTACTTAAATACTAAGAAATTACTGTTGCTTCCCATTTTGAATTTTATCTCATTTACACTAAACACTGAGTTTATATATGTGTAAAGGTTGTTTTTGCCCCTTAAAATTTGCTTCTTTAAGTGAAACTACAAGTAGTTTCATGCATTCTTGATTTTTCACCATGACTATTATTAACCTATATTTTATTCATTAGAACATGTTACGCTAAATTTATTTGGATTCCTTGATCCTAATTTTTAGCATTTCATCTTCTATACTGGGTTTCTTTGTTTTGTTTTAGGCAGTTTGCCTAAAAAGTTTCTCAAAATACAACCCATTTTTCAGTTTTTTTTTCAGGTACTGCCTCAACCACAAAGCCTTTTATGATTTTCTGCTACCTAATATGGTCAGCCTTCAACACACTTCCATATCACTTTGAATCTATTTTAACACTTTAAATATACTCCATCTCAAAATGTATTTATTTACAGTCATCCTTTATATAGTTAGTTCATTTGATCTATGATTTTCTGCCACCTAATATGGTCAGCCTTCAACACACTTCCATATCACTTTGAATCTATTTTAACACTTTAAATATACTCCATCTCAAAATGTATTTATTTACAGTCATCCTTTATATAGTTAGTTCATTTGATCAATTTAAGACTTTGTTTTATATTTGATAGAAATTTTCCTTATTAGCTAAATAGAGTTGTAGAAAATCATTAAATAAAACTAGGTAAGAGCATTAATATTTTGATGTTTAGGACCAGTTATCCAAAACACAAAATTGCATTAATATTTTGGAACTAACATTTCTCAAATTTATATTTGTATTTGTAGTTTTATTATTTCCCTCTAGGTGGCAACCTCTCACAGTTAATTGAAAGTTATTTGGCTCTTGAGTATCATTCAATATAAAAAATAGATGTAGAATATAAGATTTGATGGATCTTTAAATATGTTCCTGAGTTAGATTTCAGATTATTTTAGAAATCTAATACCCCTTTGCGTGAAATAAAATAATGTAAAATAAAAGTTTCCTTTAGAATACCAATAAATTTCATTTTGAATCAGTGTGTGCTATTATTATTGGGTTATAGGGAAATATCATCAGTAATGGTAATATTAGAGCCTTTCAGAAATTTAACTTATTTTGTATATACTTATCTTTATTCATGTTGATTTTTCATCTCTCTCTGCCCTTATAAATAAGTGACACTGATGCAGAAGTTAGCAAGGTCACCGGCAATTTTTTAAAAATTCTACCCAGCATTTTGATTTTTACTTTTATTTTGTTGCCCTTCTTTAAAGTTAGATTGTTTAAGGTTTTATGAGCATTGAAAAGATGTCATCTGCAGTGCCGACGTATGCCATGAGATGAAGATGTGTGAAATCTAGAGGGAAAAGTACATATCTGGTACTACTACTAGTGTCCTCAGACTTAGGGGGAATGGTTCTCTCTTAAATGTTTTTATTAAGGTACTTGAAGTATTCCTCCATATATACTCCCAAGTTATAAAATAAACGGCTTTCAATTATTCAGCGTATAGCCGTTGAACAACTATATTTTGCAAAATACAACAGATTTTTTTAAATCTTTATAATTTTTCAGTAACTGAACAGTATGCTATTTTAGTTACTTTAGTCCAGTGAAATAGATCAGTCTAGCCAGCTTTGTATTATCTATTTAGAATTAACTTTGATTTATATCTATAAATATTTGAGTAATACGTACTGGATTAATGCCAGATTTCTTATCGCAAATTTAGTTCAGATGCCACTTAATTTTCTGTATTTTCTAAGCCCTAGTAATAACATCCAAAAAGGAGTGTTATAGGTGGATTTAAAACCTTTGTTTTCCTTTTGTATTTAGGTCATAGTGATGGGAGCTACTAATCGTCCTCAGGATCTTGACTCAGCTATAATGAGAAGAATGCCTACAAGATTTCATATCAACCAGCCTGTAGGTGGTTTTGACTGATATTATGAACCCTTAAATATTCACTTTGTTTTAGGTCTTTACTGTGATTTCAAGAAGGGGATAATTTTTTTTTTTAATAAGACTTATCATTTATGATAGGCAGGGAAGGAATAGGGCAAGAATCCCTATAATTGCTTCTTTGTTCTTTCTACTTATTTTCTCTCTCTCTCTCTCTCTCTTTTTCTTCTCCTCCCCTCTCCTCCCTTCCCCTCCCCTCTCTTTTCTTTCTTTCTTTCCTAAGGTTAATGTTATTTGCTTCTCTTCAAAATATATAATTACCTCAAGTTTGCCTAGACACTTTAGTGATTTTCTTTAGAATGTAGCAAGTTCTCAATGGAAGACAGAAGAAATCAAAATTATAGTTTTGGTTTAGCATAGGCTGAAATTAGGGGGATTAGGGTTGAAGAACTGTTCTGTTCAGAAGCCCGACAGGAAAAACAACTGAGATTTATTTAATTGTTGGCAGTTGTAGTCCGTGCTTTCCTCTGACAGTATTAATGATTAACCAGTAGCTAAGATATTACACTTTAACTTAATGTGAATGACGGTAGTGTTGAACCAGTATTGTTTTCTCTATAGTGTTCTTTTTTGTTAAGAAGTACCTTCAAATAGATGATTACAATTTATTTATAATTTTTGCCCCAAATGCTCAGAACTTGAATTTTGTCTGCCTTTAGATAAAAGAAAAAAGAAAAAATACAGGATTAGTAATAGAAGATGTGTGCTGTACAATCAGCATGTAGCAGAATTTTTAAGTGTCGTTTCTTTCAATTTTTGAAATAATTATATTATAATTAATTAATAACCTGGCTAAAAATCATTTGTCCTCTTTTATATTCTGCAGCTTACCAGATCAATCTGTGGCCACAAACATGGTTTCCTAAATGTCGATGGTTGTAGCCTCTAAAAAATTACTCTGATCAACTATTTGCTATAGCTACAACCTCTGGTCCCTCTGTGGGTATGCACATAGTTATTTACCTGACAAATCAATGAAGAGATTTTCTTAACTTAATGTAGGAGACTATAAAATTTATTTAGTGTGACTACTATTTATTGAGCATTAATATGAGGTAGATAACTGGTAGGCTCTGGTGAATGGAACATGGCCCCTATCCTCAAAGAACTCTGTTGCAGGGTAGTAAGACACAATAAATAATGTTAAATGTACTTTACAAGGGTATGTTTAAAGAACTGTTAGAGCCTGATATGATGATGAAAACTAATAATTCTGTCTGAGGAGTTGGTGAAATTTATACAGTTCAGGTGGGCTTTGAAAGATGGTAAGAATTTGATAGGCAAGTGAGGCAAGGAAAGGCCTTCCTGCCAGAATGAACAAAGGCAAGAAAGTGTGGAAGCTCATGTTTAATGGCGACTTCTGGGGTACTTCCATTAGGGCACCAGGGAAAACAGATGGAGATGAGACTGGAAAGGTAGACTGCTGCCAGGTTTAGATGAACTTTCCATACTTCTCACAAGAATTTTGACTTTATTTTGTTAGCAAGGCATCAGAACATTTTAAAAGAAAATTAGTTTTAAGAAAATTAGTGGTTGAAGATGAAGATTACGTTGATAGAGTCTCTGCTTGTAGTCCAATAGAGAACAATACAGTAGAATAGAACATAGGATACATAGCATGGAAAATAGCCTTTATTAAAGTTGTAAGTTTAGTATATTAATTTTGTAAGTTATCAAAATGAGTTGTAACAGTTAACAAGTTTGTTATAAATTTGTATGCTGTTATGTAGAAACTGGTTTCTAACCTTCCTTTCATTCTATTTTTTTGTGAACACACACACTTTTTATAGGGTAATTTTTTGTTGTTGCATAATTATATGACATCAAAGTATGTGATTAACTTTACCTTCAAATTCCTCTCCAAGTTAAATATTTATTAACAAAAGTAGTTATTGGTGAACACAGAACATACCAAATTAACCTTCATACTTTACACACTTGAACAGAAACAGCAGGGTTTGGTTTTGTTTTTTAGGTCATTTGATTCGATGCTTATTAAAACCAGCTCGATTTTTTTCAGTGGTTGTGGGAATGGGAATGAGTTCAGCCATAATAATTCTTAAAAGCATTTATACTTACTATATGTAAGGTATTTTGTAAAAGTTTCTATTCTCTGGTATAATATGAAGCATCACGGAGTGGGGAAATATAAGCATGTGAACAAATATATTATCAGCACTAAATAAAAATTCAATAATTAAATTAATGAACATGGAAGTTATATGTTGAAATGGGGGAACCAAAGAGATATTGTTGCCATCTCTTTAATTACTGGTAAAAATTGTATGGCAGTGATGTTTTCAGAATTTTCTAAATGAAGGAAAGGAGATTTGCAGAGCCGTGGAGGAAAGACATTGGTAGAGGAAAGTCATAGGTATTCATCTATTCACACAAGAAAGATTTAAGGGTATGTTATCTCCCAGACATTGTGCTAGGCACTGGGGATTCAGAATGAGATGTAGTTCAGTAGGACAACCATGAACGATTACTCTGGAGGCTAGAATCTAGACCTTGCTTTAGCCTGTAGTTTCCATGACCTCTGTCAGAGTTTCTGTTATTCCATATAGGTATTTTAAGGTAGTTTACAGGGATTGAAGAAATACTAGGAAAACTAGTTGATCCTTACTTTTTTAAAAATAGTAATTGAAAATTATCCTGATTTTAGGCTCTAAAACAAAGAGAAGCAATCCTGAAACTCATCTTGAAAAATGAAAATGTAAGTAGAAAATTATAATTTTCCCCATCCTATTAACATTCGTTAATTCATTCTAGAAATGAAAATGGAACCTGAGAATAATGTAGCTTTGAACTTGATGTAAATTATTGTAAAACTCTTGCCTGCTCATCTAACTCAATAACTATGATATACTTGAACTAATTAAAGACAGTCTTTTAAAAAAGCCATGTTTTCATATCTACAGATTAAAATCCCCTGATGTTTTTCAGACTGTTTCCCAATTATATATGTTTATTTTTATACAAAAGCAAGGGTTTTTTAACTTCAATATTTTTGAAGTGTGGAATTTAGATTTAAAAGGTATGGTAATCAAAATCTTCAATAATTTTTGTGTTTAAGTTTTTTTCAAATAGGTCATATAGTCACGTAAAATTACAATATATTAAATGGTTTACAGGAGAAAGCCTCAGTCCCTCCCCTGTGTTTCGTCTGTATTGTTTCAGATGGCATTATGCCTGTACAAGCAAATTAAAATATACTGTTATTTCTCTCCCCTTTCCTACAAAACCATGTTAATAAACCCCCTATGCATTGCTTTTTTCACTTATCTTTGAAATCTTTCTGTGTTAGCATATAGTTAGTTTCCTTATTCTGTGTCCCCTTTTTTTCTTCGCACTGTGTTAAGATTCCATTGTATGGATATACTATAGCTTAATTTGCGCCATTTTGAAGGACATCCTGGTTGATTTTGGTCTTTTACTGTTATTTAATGCTGCACTGAGTAACCTTGTACATTTGTCATTTCACACTTGTACAGAAGTGTTAGTACAGTGAATTTTCCAAAAGAGGAATTGCTGATATTTATAATTTTGCCAAATTGTCCATGCTCAGTTTACTCTTATACCAGCAATATTAGAGTGCCTTTTTCCCTATAGCCTTGCCAACAGTGTTATGGAACTTTATGCCAACATGATAGGTAGAAAATGGTATCTCATTATAGTTTTAATTTACATTCTTTAGAGATTAAATGACCATTATATGTTTAAGAGCCACTTGAATTTTTTTCTGTGAAATACCTGTTGATATTCTTTGCCCATTTTTCTTTTGCAGTGTTCTTTTTCTTATAGATGTGTAGGAACTCAGATGTATTAGGGAGATGTGTCTTTAGTCTACACGATTTGTAAATATTTTTCCCAGTTTGTCTTTTGATTTTACTGGTTTTTTTGTTTGTTTGTTTGTTTAATCTCTTTATGGCTTCTGGGATTTGAATCTAAATTAAGAGGGCCTTTCCACTCCCATGATTATAAGAGAATTTTCCATATTTTCCAACTCTTGCTACTTTTTCCACCAAAACTGTAATCAAATATATTTTAATAACATGGTATTCTTCCCTATCCTAAACTTCATACTTAAACTCACTATTTGAACTTACTATCTAAACTAAGAAACCAGAGATTCCCATAGTGAGGAATACTTGTGTTTCAATGGTTTTCCTCCTTTTTTGCATCACCATCAATCTCATGGTTAATTCTGCTCCATACATAACATACCTACTTCTCCATCTCCCATGTTTTCCCATCTTGTCTTATCTGTAAATGTTTTAGTTTTATCTCTAAAAGACAGAATTTTTCTTTTTAACTCAACCTCATTCCTTTTCTTACTCCTAACAAAAAATTGACCATAATTCATTATTATCATTGAATATCCAGTTTGTTTTAAAAAAGAAAAAAAAGTCTCTTTTTTTTAACTATGTGTTTGTTTGACTTGGGATTCCTATAAAGTTCATAATTTGAGATTACTTGATAGTTTTAAAATCTCTTTTAATCCATAGACTGTAGATTCTTCCTTTGTCTCTCCTTTCTTTCACCTTCCCTTTCAATTTATTTGCTGAAAAACAAATCAGGTGGATTTGTCCAGATTTTACCATATTCTGAATTTTGAATCTCATCCAGCAGACTGGATGAGATTCAGGTTCAGGTTGGCAGTCGAGAAAACAGGACTACTTCTTAGGTAGAATTATATTCTTCGATTGGGAGATACATAATATCTGGATATCCTTTATGGTTTTGTGTTTACATTTCAATCTTTGCTATGTATTTTGTATTTATTGGGATATATCATATGCGATGTGAATCGAACTTTGCTTTTGTTTTCCAGGTGAATACTCTGTTGTCCTAAGCCACTTATTGATTAGGCCATCTTTTCCTCATTAGAAATGCCAACTTTCTCATATCTGAAATTCTCATATGTATTGACTGTGTTTCTGGACTTTGAATTCAGGTCATTGGTCTTTTGTGTCTTTATGCACCAACACCACAATGTTTTCATTATTGAGGCTTTATAAATTTTAATAGCAAGTACAGCTAGGCACCCCTTATTGTTCCCCAGCCCAAAGTTTCCTGGTTATTTTTGCTCATTTTTCTGTATGAATTTTAGAATTAATTTGTCTAATTCCAGAAAAAACAAACAGCAGTTTTTGGTGGATTGTAATTCAAGAGAATTAAGATCTTTTTGATGTTGAATCTTTTCTAACCAAAAACATGTATGTCTTCCTGGTCGTTCACGTCTTCCCTTGTGTCTTTCAGTAGTGTTCTGTTCATTTATTTCTTTAAAGTATGTCAAAATAGCATCTGTGCTGCTTTGCAAAAGTTTAAAGAACCTAGCAAATTTTAGAGATTAGATCATTGATTACTAACCATTGCAGGGATCATAGAACCCTTTAAATAAAGAGATAAAAGATATGAAGTCATTCCTTAGAAAACAATTCCAAGGAACCTCCTAAAACCTTCCATGTATTCTAGATAAGGACCTACTATCCTACATGAATGAGAAATCAACAAATTACATTTTACCTTTTAATTGAATATTTAATAACTGCTTTCAAAAAGACATTGTATAGTTGTACTGCTGTTTAGGTAAAACAATTGCTAAACCTTTAAGAAGGATAAGTATTAATGAATAGTTCAGAGAAGAAAGCAAAGAGGATAAAATGGTAAATTCTTTTGAATTAAGGTGGCTATGATGTAGCTAGAAATTTTAACAGGTATTAAAAGATAGTTGCTGACAATTTTGTAGAGACATCGTTAACTAATACAGTTATTTAATTTAAAAGTTTTTAATGAACGATGGTGTTACATGGCTGAATGTTAACCTTTTCAAACCACATATATGTGGTCTAATGTAGTTATAGATGATGTACGTGATTTACGTATAGATGATGAATGTAAATGAGATTTAAGCTCTTAAAGTTTTCACATTTAAACTTAAGAAACTATTCATTGTATCTAACAGGCCATCAAGTTTTCACTTTTAAACTTAAGAAACTATTCATTGTGTCTAATTTTCACTTTGATTTCAGTATCCTGCTTTTCTTAAACAGCAATATCTTTGAGAATTCTTTCAGAATTATATTCATTACGAGTGCAGGGAATATTTAGCATTCTGTTTCTTACTCATGAAAGCACGAAGGATTAGTTTCTAATCAGTTTTATGATGCAAAATATGAATGCTCTCTGGATAACTGCTGACATAGGAACATCTGATTTTCCACTAGCTGGTATTTATATGTTGAAAGCATATTATGACTTCAATAGAATATGAAAGAAATTAATGTAATTTTGTTAAAAGATGCCTCAAATCAGTAACACATTTATTTAATAACATGAGCACCATCATGCTTATACATTGCTGGGCAGAATTGGGGTATTTGATACAAGTAGACTACCAGACTTTTATATTTTCTGAGTTTTTCTTCTCTGAAGACAGAATGACAGTTTTGAAATGATAGTGTTTTTTGGTCTTTCACAATAAGTTTTTAACTTTTTATTTTTCAATTAGACTTGACATTCAGTATTATTTTATATTAGTTTCAGGCATACAGCATAGTGGTTAGACATTTATATAATTTACGAAGTGATCCCCCTGATTAGTCAAGTACTCACCTGGAACTATACATGGTTATTAGAAAATTATTGAACATCATTCTTTGTTGATAGATCCTTAACACAACTCACTCATCTAAAAGAAGATAGTGTAGTGGTTTTGGCTTAAAGTTTTAAGTATAAAAAGAATTAGAATAAAATTTTTACCTTATACAAAGGAATAGTTAACAAGCATGGACTGAGGGCCTCACATTCTGGCTTGACCATTCCTTGCTGTGTGACCTCAGACAGATATTGCTTAGCATCTCTGTGTCTCATTTTTCTCACTTGGAAATCAGAGATAATGCCAACAAGCTAATAGAATCATTTGGAGAATGTAAATTAAATGATGTATGTAGAATGCTATAGTACCATGCAATTATATACCCAATGGTAGATATAATAAGTGCACACAAATTAGTGCTGTTCTTCCAAGCTATTTTAGAAGTTCGTTAATTTATTCCAGTATTGCTCTCACTATCCAAAACCTTTTTTATCTTAAGAATTGCCTTCATAGTTGCCTATTGAAAACAGTTCTCATTATGTCATGGTATGTCTCATAGCTATTACCTTAAAAAAAGGGATTCTTTTAAAATATTTGCTATGTGCCAAGAATTGTTATGTGCCAAAAGTTGTTCCAGAGTCAACTGTACATTGTTTTATTTAATCCTCGATTCATATAAGGAGTCCACATTAGTACTGTTTTACAGTTGAGGAAACTGAAACCCAGAAAAGTTATATAATAAATTGGCCAGGCTCACATAGCAAAGTGGTGATGGAGTCTTTCACTTAACTATTATGGTATGCTATCTCTATAAATTAATTTTGCTCTCCCAATGACTATAATCTTCTCCTTTTCGTTCTTTTCTCGTAATTATTTTGTTCATCTTTGTGATTTTATTATCCTGTCATGCACAAGATTTGTGAACATAATGTGGCCCAGCAAAGGAGTGGTCAAAGGATAGGGCGGAGGTGTCATTTTAGGGAAGAAGACTAATTTTTAACATCATATAATTTGAAGATCTTTTAAAGAGTTTTTCAAATTTATGAAATATTTGAAACATACACACAAGTAACCTTATCTTTACCACCCAGATTTAACAGGTGATCTTATCATATTTTGCTTTGCATTCCCCTCTGATCACCTACCTCTGGTAGCCTTCTGTCCTGAAGTTGGTAATGTGTATCAGTTCCAGTGAAAGGTATGGATAGATACATAATACATGTGTAGGTGTATGTTATTTTTACTTGTTCAATGTTACAAACAGGGAAATTAGATCCTTCCATGTGTCTGATTTCACATGTATACTTACAAGTTCCTCAGACACAGAAAAGTATAAACTATAAGAGAAAGAGAAATAGACAAGTCTGACTATGATTAAATTGAGTATTTCCAGAAGTGTAAGGTAACATAAACAAAGTGAAAAAACAAGCCGCTGGGAAAACATTTACAACCTTTTAACTAACAAAGGACTAATATCCAAATTATACAAAATTACTATAATCAGTTGTGTCAGGTTTATGTGTGTACATTATTCGATCACAGGTACTAACTGCAGCCAGCTCTAGGACCTTATTGTCTGATACATTAGTATTTGAGACATATGTTTAAATCTCCCAGTATTATTGTGGACCTGTCCATTTCTCAGTGAAATTATGTTAATTTTGCTATGTATATTTTGAGGTCATGTTATTAAATGTATACTAGTAGAGAATTGTTATGTTTTTCTGATGAATTATTTTTTATCATTATATAATGATTTCTATTCTAGATTGTGTATTTTGAGTAAAAAAATCTATTGATCTGATATAAATAGAACTACATTAGCCCTCTTTTGGTTAATATTTGCATTCGATATCCTTTTCCAATCTTTTACTTTGAACTTTTGGTGTTTTTCCTTTGAGATGTAACACTATCCTGTTTTATTTTCCTTTTCTGCAGGGTGTGACTCTTACAAACCTCAAATAGCTACATTTTGGTTTTTTTTTATACAGTCTAATCTTGTCTTTCACCAGACTAGTTTACTCTGTTTGCATTTGTGGTGATTACTCACAAATTTGTCTCTCATTCTTTCTTATTTTAGTTATTTCCATGTATGATGCTTTTTCTTCACATAACCGCACCCTCCCACACTGTTATTTTTCTCTTGTATTCTTTATCCCTTTATTCCCCTTTTCCTCTACTAGTTTAGAAGTTACGTATTCTCTTTTAGTGATACCCTTAAAATTTTTTAACATATATGTACCTAAAGTCCAAGTTAATGATATGTCTTCACTATTTCCAGTGCTATAATTTTAAGACTTAACACTTCTTTAACGTAGATGTCCCCTCCATATTACATGTTCTTGTTGTCTAGAATTTTAGTTTTACATGGTTTTTCTACCTCCAAATTAGATTTTTATTATTGCTCGTTATATATTGAAGCATATTTAGATTTATCTATATGCTTACCTTTTTTATTTTTATTTATTTTTTGCATATCATCTCTACTTCACACCCTACCTTCTGGGTTCACTTTTCTTTTTATCAAAGAATATGTGATTAATGTTTATTTAACCCCCACATTTAGGAATTAGAACACCGTCATGTGAAGTCACAGTTGCAGAGCTGACAATAGACCTCATGTCCTCTCACTTCCATGTCTCTTGTCCTTGTGTAAAGTTGTTGTTCTTACTTAAATACTGGGTCTTTCAGAAAAATGAACTGGAATTTAGTAACTTTAAAAGTGGCATTTCAGATCAATGTGGGAAAGTAAATGTTAAGACAAATGGTTAGCTAAATGTGGGGGAAATCCAGGAAGACCTCTATCTAATACATGGTGTTCAACTCCTGGCTCTGGTGCATGATCTTGGGCCATTTATTTTCAGGTCTCATTATTATCTGAAAATGAAAATGAGAATACTTATCTGACAGGATTAAATGAGAATAATACATGTAAAGTGTTTAGCACAGTGAATGACACATGAGAATCATTTCATAGATGATAATTATTATAAGTACGTTTTTTTCTTGCTCATTTTCTCTTCTTAATCTACATGTAATTTTGGTGTGATTATATTATCCGAAGTCTATTGTGTGCCCAGTACTATCACTTAATTGGCTTGACTGTATAAGCTTACATTGGGGAGCAAGACAAGGAGCTGAATTAATGTTGAGGTAGTAGAATACCAAAGCCTTATAGTTAAAATGAATGTTAGAATATTTCAGTGGGATATGTGTTTTGTAATGGACTTGGGACTTGATACCAACTATTTGCCAAGCATGTTGAATATATCATAGAAAAGTGTTAACCTTCCTAAGAACTACTGAAGTAAATCCAGTGTTGTTTGACTGACTGTCTTCTTCACTGTCACTCCATGATATATCTAGTGAGACTTATTTCACTATTTTCACCATAATGGCAATTAATGGAAATCAGATTTCAAATTTTAAGCTTTTATGGTTCACAAATTCTAAAAACTGAAAATACTTTTTAGTGATTCTCTTTCCATGCTGTTCCAAATGTGCTTAACATTCTTTAATAATAAGAAGAGTGTTTGGATGTATTCTTTGCAATATGTTTTATACTTGTTTTTTTAAGCATGTTTTATATTCGTTTAAGGTGGATAGGCATGTGGATCTGCTAGAAGTTGCCCAGGAAACTGATGGGTTTTCAGGAAGTGACCTAAAAGAGATGTGTCGAGATGCTGCCCTCCTCTGTGTCAGGGAATATGTTAATTCTACATCAGAAGAAAGGTAAGTGTTTATAGAGTTGATCTCTAATATTTATCAAACCCTTGTAAGAGCTTTTAGGTTCGTTTCTTTTATTTTGCTTTATAATTCCAACTCTGCTTATGGAATAAAAGGTAAATTGGAATTAACAGTCCCCTCAACTTTATTTATTGTCCTTTTTTCTAATTCATTCTGAAAATGCATTTGTGGGGAGGTCTTAAAGAGAGTCTAGTATGAAGAGGAAGAAATATAAGTTAAATTTCTACTGAAAATTCTTGGACTCTGTCACAGAAAGCTTATAGAAACTTAGGTTTGTTCCTATCTGCTAGGAAAATAGGGTTTTCTAGTACTCCTGGATTGCTTTACATCTTAAATTCTTAAGTTTCATTTCATATGGACACAAGTGCCCTGTCTTCCAGAAATTTTACACCTAAATGAGGGGCCTGCCTTGGGATTAGACTTTAGCTTGTTAATAATACTATATTTATAAAACAAATCACTTGTCACTGTAGCATACTACACTTGAAACCAATTTCAAAATATAATGAGCTTGAGAAAACAATTTCGTACCAACTTTATTCCAGCAAAGATATAGGTGAACTGGAATAAGAGCCCTGATGAACCATGTCCCTTGAGGGACATAGTGGGATTTTGTTTTTCTTATTATTGAAGTGGGGGAGACTTAGATTAGTTGTTTTCTATTAATAGCAGAGAATTTTGAGTTCATCAGAAGCTAAACACTTACATGAATTTGTAGGAATCCTACTTTTAATTCTAGTTTTCACGAGAATAACGTTTGACTCCTTGATTGGAATTATTCCTGTTTTGGTAAACTGACACCTTTATACAACATTTTCACGTTAGGTAATATTCTGTACTTATATTCTTAGTGTGAAGTATTTGATTTTAATTACCACAGCAATGATGTTTATAGCCAGACATTTTAGCTTCCTGCCTCTTAGTCAGTGCTTTTAAAAAATCTCCTAGTACTTGTATATGCATAGATAATTCCGAAAAGAGTTCACATGAAGCTTTTAATTGTGGTTGTCTTTTGGATCTTGGGTGGGAAAGAGGTTTTATTTTTTAATCATGGTAAGATTTTAGGAAGATATATCGTAAAGTTATTTGACTTGGTGGTTTTGTTTGCAATTTAGCCATGATGAAGATGAAATTCGACCTGTGCAACAACAGGACCTGCAACGGGCAATTGAAAAGATGAAGAAATCAAAGGACGCAGCATTTCAGAATGTTTTAACACATGTTTGTTTAGATTAAGAGTAAAGGTCATTTGTACAGGTGAGTGTGACCTGGATCGGAGTGCCCTGTTATCATTAGTGGAAATAGAACGGAAGGAGGAGTGTTCTTTAAACAGTGAGGGAGTTGAATGACCCTGGTTTTATACTCTGAATTCTAAGTTATTGAGATATAGTTGTTATATAAACGGTATTACTACTTGTCAAAAATCATGAGGAGGAACAGTTTAATCCAGCCTGAGTGCGGGTGACTGTGTTTGACCTCTTTAGCCATATGTTGCAGCCTTATAGCATCTAAGCTGGTCTTAAAAGTAACAGATGATTCGTTGAGTCATTAGTGAGAAAAAGGGATGTTGTTAAGTGCTGGTTTCTAGATATGTGAGAGAGAGAGAGAGAGAGAGCGCGCGCGTGCGTGTGTGTGTGTGTGTGTGTATTAAATGTATATATTCACACATTTTATATTGACATTCTGTAGATATGTTTGAATACAGAAACGTTTTTTTACCCCAACTGCTGAATCAAAAAGTACCAAATAGTATATAGTGAAATTAAGATTGAAGGTTGTGTCTAAAAGGTACAGTGGTTCAGCCATTTTCATTTGTCACTTATTGCAGCTTTTTTTTTAAGTTGAGTGTTTCTCTGCATTTGAATAGTTAGCCACATCTGAATACATAGATGTGGCTCAATTATAATGGTTGTCAGGATTATCAAATAAAAATACTTGTTCAGTGATCAGCATTTTCAGGCAGTTGCATGATCGACACGGATTTCATCTCTTTCTGCAAGCACACCAAGTAGAGACATTTTTTAAATTGATATATGTTAGGTGGATTGAGAGCCTTTCAAAAGAATGGCTTTGAAAAACCTCAGTGCCACTCAATATATGTATGTGATTCTTCCTTTCTTCATTTAATGTAACATAGTTCTGTTGTAACCATGGTTTCTTAATGTTTTTTTAAAGTTATATGTTCTTTAATTATGGTCAAATATAATTTGGTCATCAAAAATGAAATTATAGTTTAAAACAAGTAGCTATTACTAAATGTGCTAAAAATATTCATTTTGTAATTGAAAATTTAAAAGTTTTCTTAGCGTATTATAAATTGTGCCCTAGATAGTAAAAATATACACATCAAAATTCCCATATCGTATTTGTAGTCATTTTAATGCTATATGCACTACATGTAGGTGAAACATTTTTTTTGGTCGAGAATTTCACTACCAGAATTCTGTTACAGGCACTTAAACACACAGCATAAGGGAAATGGCACAATACAATCTCGAGGCACCTTCTGAATCATCAGAAAGATTAAATTATGCTTCATACATTTTTGTTTTTAATTGTATTTCTTTGAAAATTCGCAATCTTTATTTATGAGTTATTGTATTCATTTCTTTACACTAAGTGTCTCGTTAAAACCTATTGAATAGTTTGTCCCATTGTGCTTTGAATGGTGAGTGGGATAGAAATTGTGGGAGAAAACTTTGGATAACAAAAAGCAAGTTTTGAAAATTGCAAAGATGATTGAAAAATTGAATGCAAAACACAAGATACCAAAAAAATTTCATCTTCATTTTTAATAATTATATTATTCTATTATTTTGTAAATATGTAATAAAGAGGTCCCTCTTAACTGATTTTTCTCTGCTTATGCCTTGGTGGTTTTTCAGTTATGTAAAATTTTCTGGGGTGGTTTTGATTTGTAAAACTTGCCCTTGAACTGTTTTTAAGTTACTGTGTAGCTTTCACACTTTTACAGCATACATATTAGTATCTAATCATTATTTTTGTTTTAGTATGAATTTCAGTAATCATTTAATTTTAATCTGATGACATATTGATCAGAAGTAAGGGGTGATATGTATCCCTCATGTCCTTTCTTTTTATCTACTCTTAAATTCAGAATATCTAATAACAGTAGTTAAATTTATCATCGTTTTCATCATCAAATGAAGTTAGAGAAATACACTAATCCCAGCAACAATGACTCATCTAGGTACTTTAATACCTTAAAGTAATTGAGGAAACATTGTTGTTATTACTATTATTATTATTATTATCATTATTTGCTTACAGTTTCTGACTGAGAATATTCATCTTCTCTAGGTGATAAATGTTGGGAAAGGTCTTTTCTTCTTGCTTTCTTGCTTTCTATTTATATTATATCGACATGCAATATTCTCAGTTTCAGGTATACAACATAAGTTTTCAACATTTATATATCTGATGGATTGATCACCATCTGTCACTGTAAAAGTTACTACAATAGACTGTATTCTCTATGCTGTACAATACATCCCTGTAACTTATTTATTTTATAACTGAGACTTTGTAGCTCTTATTCTCCTTTACCTTCTCCATTGTCACCCACCGCCTCAACCCCCAGCCATCCATCATTTTGTTCTTTGTATCTATGAATCTGTTTCTGTTTTGTTTGTTCATTTGTTTTGTTTTTTTAGATTGCACATATAAGTGAAATAGTATGGCTTTTGTCTCTTGTTTGACTTATTTCAACTTAGCATAATACCCTCTAGGTCATCTACGTTGTCATTCTTTCTTATGACTGAGTGAAATTCCATTGTATATATGCCAAATCTTTATCTATTCATCTATCAGTGTACACCTAAGTTGCTTCCATATCTTGGCTCTTGTGAATAATGCTGTAGTGAACATAGGGGTGCAAATAACTTTTTGAATTATTTTTTTTATTTTCTTCAGTTAGATACCTAGGAGTGGAATTGAGGAAACATTATGCTTTTAAAGAATGTTTAGTGTTACATAATCTATCCTTCTGATGTAGGCATGCATTTGACACATGTAGTTGGAGTTAGATTCTAAGATATTTCATTTTGGGTATCAAAATGAAGTTAAGAGGACTGATCTAGAGTTAGACTGACCTGAGTTTAAATCCAGGCTCTCCATTAATTAACTGTGTCTTTGGACTAGTTACCTAACTTCTTTGAGCTTCAGTTTCTCATTTGTAAAATGGAGTGACAGTGACACCTACTTTATAGGATTGTGTAATGAAAGGTGCATGTAGGACACTCAGCAGTGTCGGGCACAATTAAACTGCTCAAATGTTAGTTGTCACATAATTTTATTACTTTTACACACTGATGTACGTATTTGGTGACCAGGCTCAATTTTTGAGCATTATCCATGCCTAAACCATTTCCATGATCCCTATAGAGATTGAAATGATTAGCTGTGTGATGTTTCTCTGAAAGCCTCATTGTTGGAAGACTTTTGATAAGTCTGGTGTGTCTCAAACTTTTCCCAGACCTTTTTTCTAAATAGAGTATAGTACCTCAATATTTGAATCAATTCAGTGTCTCCTTTATGACTCTCCTTTCTATCTTACTCAACCTCCCTACCTCCAGAGTGACCCAGAATTCACCATGTTATCAAGAGCTGGATTGGGATAATATAAATATTCTATATGGACCATAATAATCTAATACTAGTAGCTATAACTACTACTAGGTTTGGTGTTAGTGAGGCTGTCTCAAGCCTTGAGTGTACCTCAAGTAAAAATGGCATCATCCCTCATTGGTAAGAATTTTTTAACTGGAATTGTGTTGTTTGTGGACAAATGTTATAACTTTCTTCTCGATAAAGAAAATAAATTGGATGATATGTATTTTAGAATTCTCTTTTTAGCTTCTCTTAAGGTTGATATCAGAATATTGAATAGACTTCTGATATGCTAGGCATATATCCTGCATGACTAAAACCTCAGCACCAACTAGAAGCCTCAAATAAAGCCATAGGACCATTTTATTTCAGCTGACAGAAATTGTTAGATTTCATTATTAACTTTGTTGTCATTTAGTCATCAAAGATAGAGTTCCCTAATCATTTCAAAAGTTAAAGCTCTCTTTACATGTATAGGGGAAAATTCTAAGACATCATATTCATGAAATTATGTTGAGAAGATGTGTAGCACAGATGCCAGATGTAAATGAGATCAAACCTAAAAGAAACCAGTTAGTAATGGGAATAAAAACAAAATATCCTCAGTAACCCTGGTGTAAATTTGACACTATTAATACTAACAGCACATAATGGTCTTTACTAAAACACTGAACTGGGAGTATATTTTTGTGATTGTCTAATATTAACAGTTATAAATCTACTTGAGAACACTTTTAGTTATAATCTTTTGTGCTTTGAAATTCAGCTTCAGTGAATGTTAATGCTGGTGTAGACATCAAGGACACAGGTTAGATATAACCTTTTGTGCTTTGAAATACAGCTTCAGTGAATGTTAATGCTGGTGTAGACATCAAGGACACAGGTTTATGAATCATGACAGCTCAGTTTTAAAACTAGAGCCAAACATATTGAGATAATTACTGACATGCAAAACTCAGAGCTAAGAGTAGAACACAGTGGAACACGCTAGCTTCCAGAAATTCTAAGAATAATTGATATTCTCAAATAGGGTGTGATAACAGATCGTTCAGTGAAACAAAGTCCTTTGCAAACATCTGAGGGAGATGAGCATCGCCTACTGGGCCATAGTGTCATAAAGAGTACCAGTTAGGATTCTATTGCAAGCAAGCAACTCTGGCTGACTTAAGCAATGAAGAATTTGAAGGATATGGGAAGCTCATGAGATCAAAGGGAAGCTAGAGAATTGGAGTTAGGATAGAAACTCAGAAAGCTCCAGAAATTTATTAGGAATTGCTTAAGTCTCTTGCTTTTATACTTCCACTGGATTAAATGAACTTTCAGTTGTTTATCTTTAAATTATCCCATTCAAGATTCAAAATCCTAGAAGTGAGTGTGCAAACCCAGGTCAGAAATTACCCCCTGGCAGTCCAGGAGCTTTGAGAGAATGACCCTCCAGGAACTCCTTTGGCTTAAATGGTTTGAGAACAAGTGTCCAAATTACTGATTCATCAAGACTAAATGCAAAAGGGGAGCTGTATTTCATCCACAGGAAACTGAGTATTGTGGGGAAGGTAGCTGGACAAACAAAATAATGAAAATGACCAGCTATAACTCAAGTAGGCATGCTGGCCGTTTGAGCAACATACATTACAGTTTGTATGGACAGACCTTCAGGGACTGCTTGGTCCAGTCTCATATGCTCTTGATGATGGAGTACTCCTTGACATGCCCTCCTTTTTAGCTAGTTGATCACTTTTTAACTTGTAATTTATTTTGTTCCAGGTAGTGGGTAGAAAAAAAAAAACAGTGGAAATTGAAGCATAACGTTGGTTTTGGTTTTATTTCCAGGGAATGCAAGCCCTTTCCTTTGATAGGCAGTTAGGGTGAAAGGCTGATTATTCCCCTTTCTTCTAGAGTCCAGTTAGGCTGGCCCTGGGCTGTTGCTTTAATAAAATGGAGTCGACTGCGCTTAGCCAAACCCTGTAATTAACTAGGAGGAAATATTTGTGTTGCAAGTTTATATGTTTGTGGTTCTTTATATTCAATTCTGAAAGGATTCTGGCATCCAGTCACCATGAGAATGCACGAGACTTCCAGCCCCTCTTCTGTCATTTTCTCTGCAAAATCTAGGGAAGGGAGATTTTCTGGCCTGGCAGATGGTTTTTAAATGTGTTTCCAGTTTCAGTCACTACTGTCTGAGTGTTGACTGAATTCTCATCCCTGCAAAGTCTCTCTGTCTAGGCAGGCCTGCTCTTTCATGTGTTACATCCAGTCTCAGGAGTCTACCCCTGATATAAAAACAAAAAAGTACAGAGGTTCTCTGCTCACCTCTGAAGGGCTTATGACTTGGAAGGAAGCTCATGAAGAATTCCTTGCATCCATTGCTCTTTCCTAGCCTCATAGAAAAGTACTATTTTAATTTTGTCTGGATTTTTCTTATTACTATGGGAGTGAAGATCTTTCTCACCCGCCTACATTCTTGCAGAAGAAATTGTGCAGGTATTTATTGTAAGTCATGTAAAGTTAATTTTCATCTTTACAGGTTTCAATACACACACATACATACATACACACACAGAGAAGGAGGGAGAGATCATGTGTACAATGCTGCCTTGGGCAAAATCTCTTTTCTGCTGTGGGCACCAGTTTCCTTTTCTGTAAATATGAATCATAGTGTAAGTTTAAGAATTTTATGAAAATGTTTTGGAAGCTAGGAAGTGAATATGGCTGTAGGTTATCAGGCCCTTAGGCAAGTCATCTCTGATCCTGGGTCCCCATTTCCTTATCTGTACAATAATGGAAATACTGAAATAGATGTGCTTGTCACTAAACAGCACACTAACAATAGTGGCACTGTTGATAGACAGAAGTAGGGCCCTTAGCAGTACTGACCTGATCATCAGAACTTCTAAAACTGGGTGGATTCCTTAGCTACTGATAGGTGTCAGCCTTGGTAAATGGATTTGTTATTTCCTTGGCTCTCAGAGCTATAGCATTTTCTTCAGTTGTTTACCTTGAATATCCAAAGATCTGGTACTTTATGTAATTCTTTTTATGATTTGAGAATAGGATGGGGGATACCATCTCTGTAGTGGTTGATGGGATTGATTTCTTCCATAAATGTAGGTTCTTGGTGAATACACTACTGCCAGGTCAATGTCGCAGTTGTTTACATGAAATAGTCCATTATTATTTCAACCTGTGCTGAGCTGTACTTTACCTTTGAACTATTTATGGAAAGCAGGCTTATACAATAAATAGAAATCCAGATATTTCTTTACTCGTACCTTTTTATAATATAGTTTATAAGAATTTCACGTTTTAGTAAAATAGGTACAGAGCAGGTTTAAGCTTCTGAAACAAACCAGTTGTGTTTAAGAACTTTACCAAATAAAGTATGATATTAAAGTGTGATATTAATGATGCCAGCAATTACAAATACATATTATGACATTAAAAGAGCTGTGCCCATCAGTTTTTTGTTTCTGTATTTGAAGATAATAAAACTATTACTTTTTAAAACATTCTATAATTTAGATTTATTACTAACTGAGACTGGCTTTCCCTATAATCCAAATTAGGAGGTCTGTGGAAAGAGTAATAGGCTTGGGAGGGTAGGGGAAGATATCTTGGTTACAAAAGATAAACCATTGAACAATTACCGAGGCTCACCTAGCAAAGCTTGTTTTTCAGTTTGTCAGGACTTCCTTCTATCCACCACTCTTTGCTAGCCCTGTAGAAAAGCATTTTTATTTTGTCTAGGTTTTTCTGTATCAAACTAAAATGTCCAAACTCTAGCCAGTGACTCATTCATTTTTATTAATAATTTCAATATAATAACAATATAAGCAAAAATATTTGGTAGTTCTTTAGAGTGTATATTAGTAAATTGCTTATATATCACTTTCATTATTTGGTGAATGTGTATAATGAGTGGCCCAATACATAATAGTTAATATTGACCAAAGAATTAAATGCATACTGGGGGAAGAAATATCTATACAGCCAATTGTCGATTTATGCATTTTTGGTAATGGAGATATGCTTAAATAATAGAAATCTGTATCATTCAAAAACTCATAGGCAAAGGCTGCACTATTGTTTCATCAAACCTTTCGACATAAAGGACAGTTGATTGGTCTGGTGACCATCTAATTTCCTGATTACCTACCTATCAGGAAATGAAGATCAGTGCTAGACCTAATAGAAAGGAGGAAGATGAGGAAAAAACAAAAATGAATTTGCCGTTCTCAAGTAGCCAAGATTCATTTCTTGCAGGGAATATGGGTTGGAAAGAAATCTTGTAGCCTGATATAAGTGTTGATGTATTTATAAGTCCGCCATTTTCTGACCGAATGATTTATGTATGGCTTTCCAGGATATTTGCACACTGCCCTGTACAGTCTGGCATACTCCCTCAGCGCTACTTCTATCTTCATGTATTTAAACATTTTCTGCCCTGATTTGCCCTACTAATTGTCACTAAGGGCCGGCAAGTAAGAATCTGGGGAGAAAGAGGGAGGGGCAACAAGTGGTAGCTTTGAGTTGGCTATCACACTAGTTTTATTTGGAATGAGAACCTGTAGCAAAAATGTTCATTAAGCCTTCAAGACAGAAGGGAGGCAGGGACTCCAGGAAAACCCAAACTGCAGGCCTGCTTGAAGGTCACTGAAAGTATGGGTGGAAACAGGTATCCTTTTTGCATGTAAAAGTAGCAACCGCTGAGGTTAGCAGAGGTGTGGGAGTTGAAAAATAAACAAAACCATACACACAACTGCTTCCAACCGTGCTGGTTAAACTCCTTGGGAGCACTTGAAGAAAAGGGGAGCGAGTCAGAAAAAAAGAAAAAAAAGGTCAGATCCTCACATAGTGAATGAATGCAGGGGAGAGGTCCCTGAGGAACCTAGTCACCTCTGAAAATATCACTATCTTACTTGGCTGAGACCATGTGTCATTCATATCTAGAGGACAGTTTTTAAAATGAGCAAACAGCCTCTTAATTATGGGCTAAAAGGGTTGCTGCTGTTTCTCTCCAATTACATGGAGTCACAAAGCCCTCAACAGTCATGTGGTCAACCCACACCCAGTGTTATAGACAGAAAAGACTCAGCCTTCATTTTGAGAAATTTATTAAAACGAGAACAAGCATCAGTTGTACATACAAATAGTCATTTGCACTGTGTGGTACTAGAGCAGAAGAGTAGTTTTAAATATATTAAAAAATCACAAAACATTGGTTAAGGCACTACATCCTGTCTCATGTTTTTAATAAATATTCTGTTTTTAAAAAAAATTAGTATCTCTGATTAAATGAATCTAGGCACTATACTATTAAAGACAAGTATAGTTTGCTGTGGCCATTGTGTATTATTCTTAAAAGGACTTTTCATTAGCTAAAATCAGCATTAAAAAAAAAAAAAACCCCGGAATATTTTAAAAATCACAGTTTTCTTTCCAGCTTAAGTCATCTTCCAGAGAGACCTATGTACAAAAGGTACTGTTTTTTCATATATCCCTTAGCACAAAGAATTATGCATAAAGTACAAAAAGATTGCCTCTCAGGAAGTAAAGCCATCAGAGGTTGGATTTTTCAGAACAGCATGAGTCTTTGGAAAAAGTATTTTTCTCAACTGCAATAAAATCAGCTAAGTTTAGAAAACTCTAAACTCTTGGATCTTTCAGCATCCAAGAAGGCTGCTTTGTAGTGTCCTCTGTTCAAGGAGCTTCGTTAAGCATTTTGGAGAATCAGACTCACTCCTGTGTTGTACAGTGTAGGCAGAGCACCAGACTGGGAATCATGTGGCCTGGGCGCTTGTTCTGTGCCACTGGTACTTCCTAAACATATCAATTTTGTGTTTTTGTTACAGTGCTCAGCAGCTCACAAAACATGTGCTTGTGCATCATCTAAGTTTGGTCACCTGTCAGATGAAAGGGTTGGATTTGATGTTTTCTGTGGTCTTTTTCAGTTCTAGCAGCTCGTTAATCTGATGATGTGAATGGTTTTTAGTTACAGTTGATGCTACTGCAGTCAGTAGGCACAGCCTCTTCATATGATACAATGACTACAGCAAAGAGGAGAAAAATTAACTTTCTATGACATTGCCAGATTGTTTGAGCCCTGGGTGCAGATCTTTCATCAAAGCACTCTACGCTATTTAAAAGTCGCCATTTAACTGGAGTTATATTATTCACAGAAGTGCATTAAGACTTCTCTCATTAGACAATATAACTTTCGTGGCAGATGTAGGTTGCATAGATAGAATTCTGAGATTAAATTCACATTTTCACACATTTGGTTTCTCCAGTCAGGTCATACTTCAGCATATAAGAGATTGAGCAGTAAGGCTGTATACAGACAGGCATGAGGTGAAATATTAGGAAGATTCTTGTTGTGAGCCTCACCTCATTCAGGGTGAGATTTTTTGTTTTTGGTCAGCTGTATAGAAGAGACTGCTCTTCTGATTAATTTTACTACTGGTATGTGACATTGGGAGAGTGCAGGTTGGCAAGACTTAGGCTGGAAAATATGCTTTACTTTTTGGCAAGTAAACTAAACACATGGTCAAAGCTTTAAGAAATCTGGGACCTACCTGCTTAGATGCAGCAGAGAATACAGATAATTTCATTCTGAAATGATAACAATATTGCTTTTACCTGCTAAGATTTGGTCTTCAGTTTGACTATTTTATGTGTTTACTGAAGTCGACTTTAAACTTTAGACATAATTTTTACCTCATTATAAAACACTTAAAATCAGTCATTGAGAAACAATTTGGATACAAAGCATCTCATTACAAAAATAGAAAAGGAATCAAAGAGCATGTCAGAAAGTTAGAAAGAAACTCTGGAGCCAAGAGCGTTTAGTTGTTCTTCTCCAGGGACCTATAATAATCTGTCAGGACTTTCCACGCTTTGGGGGCCATGAAGCCATCTGGGGGATTTTCTCCTTCTCGAGCCAGCTTCCTCATACGAGTTCCTGAGATGAAGTCAAACTCATTGTGCCTGTCACAAGGTAGCAACAAAGAATTCTGTTGTGAGCCTCACCTCATTCAGTAATATCTAGCTTAAAAATACCTGGAGTAGGTTATGGGTTCTTAGACCACATTTTTCCTTCTGTGAAATGCTGCCTCGTCTAAAATGGCATTTTGCTAAATCTGCAGTTCAGTAAAGGAACTTGTAGAAGAAGGGGAAATAATGACAGCTATCCATTCAGTATTTACTGTGTACCTGATCTATTCATGGGAAGTAACTTCTTTGCTCCTTGTACTTCTGTGAGTTCTGAGCATGGTGAGTGAGCTGTAAATACTCATTAAAATCTTTTTCTGAGTTGACTTCCTTTCACTTAATGTGCTAGGCACTCAGTTCATGCTCAAGGAATATATGTTAAAAAAATATTTTATGGACCATCTTCTATATGCAAGCGGCTGTGCTATAGCTTTAGGGAACACAAAATATGTAAGACCAGATCTTGGCCTTCAAGGGACTCCCATTCCAATTAGGAGCATGTGGGGATGCACTGGAGAATTTTCCAAAGGGCCAAAATTTGCCTCAACATTCCAGTTGTACAGATGTTGATTAAAGAATTTTCCTCTGAAAACCTACCTTTCTGGATCATAGAAGTCCATGGCTTTTTTGGCTTTGTTGTAGGCAGCCACTCGGAATGGAATGATTTCCACGGAAGTGAGGCCGGGGGCCATGCTCAAGACCTTGCCCCCGTGAGTGGGTTCATACAGATCTTTCTTGGTCTCAGGGTGGGGCATT